GTGTGGGTGTGTGTGTGGGTGTGTGTGTGAGAGAGAGAGAGAGAGAGGGAGTGTGTGTGTGTGTGTGTGTGTGAGAGAGAGAGAGAGAGAGAGATGGAAGATAGACCCCTCTGCTGCCTCGGGTGGCTTACCAAAGCTGCCAACATTTGGCTTCCCAGTGGAAAGTTAGGAAAGCGAGAACGGATCGTTTCTGGCCCCCTCGCAGCATCCCAGCATCCAGGGCTTGCCATGGATCCCTTCTTCCTCGCCCTCCGTCTCTGCACTGCAGCTGCCTTCATTTTCCTAGAACACCCCCCCCCTTTTACTCTGCAGGGCGTCGTGAATGATGATCTGTCCCTTCCGCAGCCACCCATGAAGGGGGTCACAAGCTCTGTGCCTAACTTGTTCGGCTCCTCTCTCCCACGTCTTTCTGCTTGCTGAGCTGCCGCCGCCGCCTTCTCCTCTTCCGCCTCTCCTCGCCCCCTCTTTACCAGCCTAGGGTGGGGTGGGGGAGCTCTCTTTCTCTCTCACACACACACACGTGAAATTTCAAGCAAAGAAGAGCCATGGGTGCATTGAAGCGGGGGGGGGGAGAGGGCGAAGGCAGATCTCCCTCCCTCTCCCCCATCACACCACTGCAGACGCTTGGAAGTTCTTGATGCAGACAGGTCTCCTCCACAGGCTTGCTCCTCCTTGGCAGGCACTCCAAGGGTTTTCGGCAGCAGCGACTCCCTCCCCCTTCCCAGGTCCAGCTTCTCGGATTAAACTCTCTGAGCTTCCCTTGTCAGCTGGCAAGCAATCCGGAACCTCCTTTGGCTGTTCTTTCAATGCCTCCACTTTGTGACCAAATGGTGGTGATGGTGGTTGAGCTCAGTTGCCTTTTCCAGTTGCTTCTTTCGACCCCAGCCCCCTTTTGCCAGGTGATCAGGGCTGCCTCGACAGCAACTGTAACCCAGGAGTGTGGTGAAGTGAAGCCAGTAACTCCCCACTCCCCACCAGTTCCCTCTGCAGCAACAGTTAGTGGTCCTGTTAGATAGGCTATTGCCTCAGGGTTAAGTTGAGCCAGAAGACAAGAAGCCTGAGATGTAACCCTTATCCACTTCAGGCTGTTGGTTATCAGCTCAATATGGATAGTATGTTGAAAAGACCTGGATTTCTTATCCTTCACCATAATTTTTGTACCTAGCTTGTGGCCTGATTACTGGAGATTTACAGGCATTGGTTGGGTGGATTCCCTTGCGCTTGAAAGATCTTTTGGAGGGGAGAAGCAGTAGATCCTTAAGTCTGATCCTCTCTGTTCAGGACCATGAGAGTATTTTTTTTTTTTTAAGGAGGGAAATAAATAAAGCCAAATCAGTCACCTCTCTTGCTGGCCTGTGTCGTGTTTTCATTCCGAAGACAAATAATAAACCAACTTTTCCTTTTCTGATGCTGTGGTAATTTTCATTCTACTAAATCAGGAAGCGGGGGTGGAATAACTTTTTTTTTTATTTTAGTAGAAACAAGCAGGTGTTGTTCTTGCAAGAAGATTCCACAAGGTGGTACTGTGGACACTTCTTAATGATGTGTATTTTATTTATTTTGGGGGGGGGAAGGTTTGGTCAATTGCTTGAATGGTTTTATTTCCATGTATTCCTCTCTGTATCTTAAAAGACCCATTGTAAGCCTGTTTTGCAAATGACAAAAGCAGAATTGTTTTACAAATCATGGGGTATTCATGCGGGCCTGCTGTCCTACCCCTGACAGCATCTTTTTGAGAAGGAGAAGGGCTTATAGGAGATGACAAAGTTTATATCTGAGAATTTCAAAAAGTGCAGGATTTGGCTTGTTTAAATCAAGCTAGAGGAGTGATGTCAAAGGACATACAAGAGAATAAAAAATGGAGCTTCAGCTCTTGGTTATATGAGATAAATCAAGTGTTCCAGATTAAACTCTTGCAGGTCTGGTGATTCAGTAACCAGAGGCAAAGACTGATGTAGCTTACACTGAGTGCATTACATTGGCTGGCTTAGATTTGGTTCTCAGTTCTTGCTTTATTGAATGTGTGTGTAGACAGGGTTGCAGACATATTGTCTGTAGTCATATTGTGCTGTAAAATACCTTCCTCTGTCTGTGTCTGTGTGTGTTTGAAAATGCTTACATGGTTTTATAAAAACTGAGAAATGAGTGAGGAGAGAGAATATTCTTGCTATAGCTTAACAGAAGGATGGCTGTTCCTGAAAACGGCATCGTTTGAACCTGTATACCAAAGGTATGGCATAAATATGGCAGCAGAGAGATTGCAGGATTTGAAAAGAGGGCAAAAGGGTATGTGATTGGCAGCAATTCCATATGGAAATCCCCTCAGATTGCTTCCTTCCTTTTTTTTTTCAGGAATGATTACTACAAATCTGAAAAGCCAAAAAAATAAAAATAAAAATTAAAAATAAAAAAACCACCCAGAAATGAATAACTTCAGATTCATGAAAGGCCAGAAGTTTGTTTCTTGGTGATAGATGCAGAATTCTTGAGATGTATATTTCCTGTTTAGTAATGAAGCACAAGATTAATTTTTAAATGCACTTTTTTCTTTTTCCTTTCTGAATTTTTCACTGTACATGTAGTTATTTCTCACAGAAGAGAAGCAGGGACCCTGATCTCTTATTCTGGTGTAGAATTATACAGTACAGTATTAGTAAGAAGAATCATGTAACGTTCATCATTGCTTGAAATACCTGTATAATTTATATATGTATCAATAATAAACATATACAGTCAGGTTTTATTATGACAACAATTAATAGCCTAGTATATTACAGTACAGCTAGAATGAATTCCGTTCAGATTTAGTTCTGGTTCAGTCCACTTCTCCTTTTCATTGCATCTGTGGGGTACAGATTAAAACTATTTTTTTAAATCATAATTTTGTCAAGTTTTTTTTTGCTGCTGCTGCTGCTGCTTTCTAGTAGTTTCTCATTGCTTCTGTGATATTTGAAGCCCATCAAGTAATTTAGGCATATAAAGAAAATTGCTAGTCCATTGAGCTATAATAAATTCATGTTCTAAATATTATCTTTGAAAGTGAATCCTAAAAATAATTGGTAAATATAATGTAGTTGTTATTACTAATTTTTTTGCTGAAATTAGCTGCTTAATATTTAGGTTTGGCTATATCACTAAAAGATGCAGAAATCTCTACATAATTAGCTTTGCTTCACAAATGCTCTCTTGAATCTGTCCAATAATTTCAGTGTTTTGAAATAAGCTGTTTTGTCTTCAAAAGAGCAATGATAAGGGTTCGTCAAAAATTGCTGTTTTATTGTGGACATGTTGGGCTAAACGTCATCAACAGACACTGAGACAAAGCTGAAAATCAGAAGGAAGAGCTGCTTGAAAGCCAATTCTAAACAGAAGTTGAATTTTAAATTAGTGACCATTCTTGCAACAGAGGGAGGGGGCAGGAAAGTGTGTGTTGCTGGTTTTGATAGGTTCTCAGTATGGCTGCTACTTGGCTTTTGAAGCAGAAGGTCTGGTTTTTGATGAGTTTGAATCACAAACTGTGTGGCACAGATCCATCTGTGTGGGATATACCTGTGCAGATGCTGCAGAAGGTTTTGTCATTTTGCCATTTTATAGTTTGCTGTGGAAAAAGAGGGAGATGATTCTTTCAGATGAGTAAAGTTCCTTATTGTTGGATACTCCTATATACCAAAGAAAGAAAGAAAGAAAGAAAGAAAGAAAGAAAGAAAGAAAGAAAGAAAGAAAGAAAGAAAGAAAGAAAGAAAGAAAGCTGACTGTAAACACAGAATTAATGTTCTCTTCAGACATTCTGAGAAATACTGGGTCTCTTGCTTCAATAGTTCACT